CACGAGGAAGGATCGAGTCCGGAATGATGATATACGAGATAGAGTTGGGGTAGCACCAATTGAGGAGAAGCTTGTCCAACATCGTTTGAGATGGTTTGGGCATATTCAGCGCAGGCCTCCAGAAGCTCCAGTGCATAGCGGACGGCTAAAGCGTGCGGAGAATGTCAAGAGAGGGCGGGGTCGACCGATTTTGACATGGGAGGAGTCCATTAAGAGAGACCTGAAGGATTGGAGTATCGACAAAGAGCTAGCTATGGACAGGGGTGCGTGAAAGCTTGCTATCCATGTGCCAGAGCCATGAGTTGGTTGCGAGATCTTATGGGTTTCACCTCTAGCCTACCCCAACTTGTTTGGGACTAAAGGCTTTGTTGTTGTTGTTGTTGTTGTTGTTGGCGTCCCTCGTTTGGGCTCGAGCCCCCTTTCCTTCACGATAGCTTAGTGCTCGGCGTCGCTGGGACCCAGTCCCCAGGCAAACTTCTGCCGTCGCTGGTATGCCAGGTCGCGATGTTGTGCGCAAGGCCAGGAGGTGAGCGACCCGAGGTTCGGTAAAAGCTCTTGAGGCGCGATGCTTAAGAGGCCCCCCTTGACGCGCAAGCAGCTTTCGAGAGAGAAGGGGTGTTTTCACCCGAAATCGTGAAAAACGAAGGTGAGGCATTAATAGTAAGGCTCGCGCCCGGCGCGGGGAAGATGACTTAGCTCAGGTTGCTCGTGGCTCGCAAAGGATTCCTACGTCATGAGGGCGCGCTTCCCTGGAGCCTGGTCCTCCTTTCTTGCTCTGAAATAAATCAACACAAGTCCCGCTGGGGTGCGTAAAAAGATTGGTATCCCTTGGTATTTCAAGCGATGCCTGCACAGTCGGACCGCGCCCCTCTTCCCTCGTATCCTTGCGGAGCTTGCCCCTCATTTCCTTGCCTGCCAGGGTGCTCTACGTCGCCAGGGCCCAGCCCCGCGCATTCCTCAGTCGCCATTGGAATGTCAGGTTGCGATGCCTGGACAGAGCCAAGGGGCGGGGGGCTACGAAGCTAGTGAGGCTACTGAGTCGCGATGCTTAGGGGTCCTGTGAGCGGCCCGCATGAAGAAAACGTGGGCGATGGCGAGGTTAACCCGGGGCCCTTCATACCTTTTTCTCATCAGCCTATGCGTGGGGGGACGTGAGAAGACCAGACACCAGGAACCTGGTGAGGTGGCACGCGCGGGGGAAGGCCTGTGAGCCAAGGCTTGGCCTGAGCATAAGCACCGTGTCCAGCCCCGGCTCGCGTGCAACCCAGGGAAATGCTATGAGCAGTGTCGCTTGGAGAGCCAAGAGGCCACTTGAGGTTAATGCTACCCGTAGGGCACCCTCAGTTGTTTATCCACCAGTGCGGAGCATGGGGCTTCCACTGGGCGTGGGCATGGTCGTATTGCGACCGTATCCGTCTGCGCTGAGCATGGGGCTTCCACTGGGCGTGGGTAAGGAGCTCTGTGCTAGAGTCTCCGGGCGTGTACAACCCTGTTTCGTTTGTACGCGTTGCTGGCATGACGGAATTTTGAGGTGTATCTAAACACTCGTGAGCAAGCGCGGGGCTCAGGAGGTCCTACCTCAAGGCGGGTTGCGCCTGGTCTTGGGCGCGAGGCGCGCTTATGAAACCTGAGTGATGAGGGTGACCTGTGCCGAGCGAACGTCCAAAGGTCGTCGCATGAGAAGGCTAAACACTAAGGACCCATAGGAGGTGACGTGGACGGGGCCGGCCCGCCGGACAGAGCTCGGTCGCTTGGGTTTGTCAACGCTGCAGGGATGGACCCGAGCACAAACGCCATGCCAAGTCTTCTCATGCAATAATCTAAGGAAGAACACCTGGCGCGCGGCTCCCGCGGCGGCGAAGCACCGGATTGCGGTTGTACGAACCGGGCCGCGCGCCCTCACTCACCCACTCGCGATTAGCTCATGCGAGGACAAGGCACCAAGGACCCCAAGAGGTGACGTGCACGGGAGCTGGCCCGCGAGACAGAGCTCGATCGCTTGGATTTAACAACACTGCATGGACGGACCGAGCACATACGCCGTGCCAGCCCTTAATCATGAGGCAGTCGAGGGCGGGATTGCGAGGGCGCGGCGACATTCATGGTGACGAAGTACCGGGCACGCAGGTTAAATTACCAAGAAATTTTCATCAAGGGCAAAACGATACGGCTGCAGGGGCGGCCCCTAACAGTTTGAGGATAATACAGCCCAAGGGGCGCCCTCAATTAAACAAACTAAAAAGTCACCTGGCACCAGTGTTGTAGGAGCGTCGAGGAAGTCATTGAAGCGTGTCGTGGAGGTTCGCTCGTCATGAGCCGGGCGGCTCTAGAGGCTTGCGAGGCTCGGGGGACTCGCGATGGCTTGGGAGCTCCAGAGACATCACCGCCAAGCGTCGGGCCTCGTGAGACGCCATCGCTCGCTGCGCGAGCCTCTGGTACGAGGCGCCAATGTTCAGCAGGCCGAAAGGCATGCAGACGTAGTTGTAGGGGTAGCCCTCGCTCTGGCCGACGCGCGACGGCCAGAAGAGGTCCTGAGAAGCGGCCCTGTTGAGGCCTGGGATGTTGACGCAGACGCGCAGCCCATCGCTTGCGTCTGGGGCGGTAGCTGCACTTGTGGGACGCGTGGGGTGGAGTTCGCCGCGCATAGCCTGAGCTTCCTGAAGTTCCTCAATCGCCTTGGTGATGAATTCTCGTGCTCCTTGCGCCTCGCGCTGTGCTCCTTGCTTGCGAGGCGCGCGTCGAGGCACGCCTCCAAGTGGTGCCCGAGCACCTCCCTCGTCGCATCGGTCAGGTCAAAGGCTCTCCAGATGGGAGCCCTCGAGCCCATCCTGAGGGAGGCGTCGGGCGCGCCTTCCTATGCGGGAGGAAGAGGCGCCCCGACAGCGGGCGCAGAGCCAGAGGCGTCGCCGACGGGTTTGTTGGCCTCCGGACGGCCCTTGGGGAGGAGTTGCTTCTTCTTCGCCGGGGTAGCCTCGGGAGGAAGGATGCCTCCCTCGCCATCAAAGTTTTTGACCGTCGTGGCCCGGTAGGCGTGCTCGAGGGAGCAGACCGCATCCTTCTCATCGCAGACGACGGTGATGACGCCGCTGTACCCAGGCATCTTGAGGATGTTGTAGCCGTGATGAGTAGCCGCCATGAACTTGGCGAGGGTCGGGTACCCCAGGATAGCGTTGTACGGGAGGCTAATGTGGGCCACATCAAAGTCGATGAACTCGGTGTGGTAGTTGTCGCGCTTATCGAAGGTGACTAGGAGGCGCACCTGCCCCAGGGAAGTGGTGGAGCCGTTGGTCACCCCAGAGAATGGCCTAGTGAGCATGAGCTGGTCGTAGGGCACCTGAAGCGTCTCAAAGGTCTCGACAGAGAGCACGTTGAGGCCAGCGCCGCCGGCGATGAGGGTCTTGGTGACAGAAATGTTGCTGATGGTGGGCATGCACAACATGGGGAGTGCGCCAGTGGTGGCCGGACACCTGAGGTGGTCCTTGAAATCGAAGATGATGGCGTACCGCGACCACTTGAGGGGACGCGCGGCTTCGAGTTTCGGGAAGGCCGCGTTCACCTCACGAGAGAACTGCTTGAAGATACGGTTCGACATGGGTGCCTAGGCACCGCCGAGGATGCAGGCAATCGCACGAGGCTCCTGATAGCCCCCAGCCCCCTCATCCTGATGGTTGTCGTCGTTCCTCCTTGGTGGCGGCGGCAGCGGAGGGAGGCTGGCGTTGCCCTGAGGACGGACCTCACGAGGCTGATCACGCCGGGGGCCGTCACGAGGCTGATCGCGCCAGCCGCCCTTGCGAGGCTGGTCATGCCAGACCTGCCGAGGGTTGCGGTTGTCCCAGCGACCTCCGCCGCGGCCTCCACCACGGTCACTGCGCGCTTGGCGGCGGCTCAGGCGCTTGTCCCGAAGCGCCCTGGGCTCCTGACAGTTGTTGGTGTTGTGAGTGTGAACATTGTGAAAGACGCAGAATAGGCGTCCGTCCATGGCGTGCTCGTCGTGGTCACGACCGTGCTTTAGCTCGGGCTCGGCCGCTAGCACGGCGGGGCCCTGGCGCTTCACCTCCTTGGCCTTGACTTTCTTGTCTTCGGGGTCGTCAGCTGGGTGCTTCAAAAGGGTGAGGCGACCTTCCTCAGCCCTGGTGCACCTGTCCGTCAGGTTGAACATCTCCAGCGTCGAGCACAGGTCATCGTGGATGGCGAGCTCCTCACTCATCTTGATGTTCGTGACGCCCTCGGTGAACACTGAGATGATGGCTTCGTCCGAGGCCTTCAGGATCTTGAGGCGGACCTGGGTGAAGCGCTAAATGTACTTGCGAAGAGTCTTGCCGAGGCACTGCTTCACGCGCCGCTGGTCGTTGACGGTGAGGGCGCGGTCGCGGGTGCTTTGGAAGTTGGCGATGAACTGCTCGCGGATCTCGTCCCATGAAGAGATCGACCCCTCCGGAAGATGCATGAGCCAGGAGCACGTGCCATCCTTGAGAGCCATGGGGAACCAATTCGCCACGACCTTGTCGTCGCCGTTCGTCGCCTTGATGCTCAACGCATAGAGCTTAAGGAACTCCGCCGAGTCAGGAATGCCGTCGTAGCGCGGGGGTAGCTCTAGCTTGAACTTGACTTGCCAGACCACTTGACGCCCTCTGGCGCCCGCTGGCGCCCTCCTGGTCTTGGTCATCATGGCTCCCATCATCGCGCGCCTCGCGAGGTGGGTGCAAGCCTAGAGATATCTGCTCCTCTGGAGGCCGCTCTTTGGGAGGCCTTGATGTCGTTCGCCTCGCGAGGCGGAGGCCCTTGCGAGGGTCTTGCTCGTGAAATTCTAGCGCTGGGCCACACCGGGTCGTTGGTGAAGCCACGCGCTGGTTCGTAGGTAGACGGGCCTGAGTATCCCGTTCTCAGAACCTCGACAATGACAGATATCGAGTGATAAATTAGCAATAAGCCTTAGAATTTCAATCTCGGGACATTTTAATATCTAAAAGTGATGATATTTTATTCTTTATCTTTGTAAGTATTACCTTGAAAGGAACCTGGAGGCGAGAGAAAGGGAACTTGCACGTGCGGAAGAGCTCGAGGAAAAGGCCCCCAAAGTAAAAGCCAAGTCAAAAATGTCAAAGGTGAATGCCTAACGTTTTATTTTTTTCTGAACTAGTATCGTCACAGCGCATGTACCGTATGCTATGGTTTAGTTTGTCAATACTTAACATTCTCTTTTGTGAACCGCGTTGCAGGCCGAAAAACTTGCAAGGAAGAAACAGAAAGTGCAGGCCTTCCAACAAAGCAAGCAGAAATCAAAATCAATGAAAAACTCGAAGAGGTGGAACTGAGATGCTGCCCCTATCGGCAGTGCGATTCACGGTGCCATAGAGCATCGGCGACAGTGCCTGGGAGGCCCCTGGTGTGCTGAAATGCTACAAGGAGCGCATATCAAGAGAAGCAACAGCATGCATACATGAGCAATGGCCATGGAGGCAGTTGATGATAGTAATAGCATTATAGAACGCCAAACTATGTAACTAGGCAGGAAATAATTTTTAACCTTGTATATAACACAGGCAGTTTCTGATTGAGGAATGCTTTATTTGCAACGATTAACAAATAGCAACACCATTTATGATCTTCGTGAAAAATCTCTACTATTAATCGTTACCCGCCAGAGAGGAATGATGCAGCAATTCTATCATCATGTGAAAAATCTGCACTACTCGTTGTTACCCGCAGGAGATGAATGATGCCACCCTTCCCGTCGTTCGCTCCGAGCGTGGCGCTACCTGCTTGGTGCCCTCCTCCTTGGCGTCTCCAGTGATCCATGACGCGTGAACCATGGACGTCTCCGGGTGATCCATGGACGCCTGCGGACCCACTTTGCGTGGTGTCTTGCCATGACGCGTGGACCAGGGACGCCCGCGGGGCCACTTTGTATACTGTCTTGCGTAGCTGCGTGTGTTTCTTGCGCTAGTGGAGGCGGTGTGGCAGGGGGTTCGATTATTGTTCGGTTGACTGTTGACTACCTCGTCTTTTTTTGGTGTCTATAATCAGATGTTCGACACTGTTGGGTCTGTCCGGTTATCCTGGGGCCACTCGGTTGGTGTGTTCTGGGTGTGTGTATCTGGTTCAGTCCGCTTCGTGGCCGATTGTTGCCCGCCTCACTTTGCCGGCTTGTCCATGTTCAAAGTAATTGCAAGAGGCAAATGACAAATAGTAGAATAGTTGTTTTCATTGATGATGGAATTACACATATATATAGCCCCTGAAGGGGTGAAGGGACACGAGACAACCGCCTCAATTAGGAAAAACAGGGATTAATAGGATTAATTAAATCCTAACACTCCCCCTAATCCATGCTTGTTAGTGTAAGTATCATCATCTTGAGAAGCTCCTCCAAAAACCCTGTGGGAAAAATACAAGGAGATAGGTGTTTGATATGTTGCTAAAACTCCTTCAAACCCAGTGGAAAAAAAAGAAAAAATAATGCAACATATAATGATTATTGTCTTTTTTAACTCGATACGAGAAAACTCATAGAGTTTACAGGACAATAAATATGTCGTCTATACTTTCTTAAAAACCCCGGTAGGGAAAACAGAAAATATGACATATGGTCTTGTGTTGATATTACCTCATTAAAAACCTTTATGAGAATCTGTAAAGTAAACTCATGAAAGGAAAAAGAGTATAATATGATGCATTGAACATGAACAATTCAGGAAGGTACTTCCCCTGATTCTTGCAAAATTCGAAGCCGTCACATACCAAAACATAGAAGTTAGTAGAGACCCGCTGAACAAATCAGTCACATTGATTTAACTTGCAAGATATGCAATATAGTGATATTGCTTATTATGTAACCTGTTTGCATCCGAGCAACACAAGAAACATTATCGTTGAGATAATGGTTGATGGATGTAGCCACGAGGTCTGTTTCGAAGACTCTTCATGAGAGGGCTACCACACCTAGTAGGAACACTAAACTTGTCTACGATCTGACATAGTGGGGATCTGATCGATGTATCCAATGATATCGGTGTTCAGATTTCTTCAAAACTGAAAAACAGGACAAGATGTTTCATGCCTTGGAGATATCGAAAGATATTCTTGAGTACCAACCAATTATGTTTGGTCGGTCCAATGGCATATGGAACGTTGAGTCCCAATATCTCATTTCCATCATCTCTTGGTCTAAATAGATCTTTCTCTACGTCTAGAGAATGAACTACCATGAGAGTTATGGATTGATAATATTTGTCCACAATGAATTTCTCCAATATATCTTGGATATAGACAACATAGTATACCATAATGTATGAATGAAGGTGCTCAAGTTGTAGAAACGAGCGGTGTTTTGGTTTACCCAAATCCTTCATTTAAACTCCATCATTAAATGATTACATGTGTCGTCATTGCAGACATACAAACATGCATAATCATCTTTGTAGGAGTAATCCTTTTGTATAAGGAACTCACTACGTCGGTTGTACCATATGTACCGACCACAATAAGTCGTATGGTGACTTACCAGTTTTACACAATGTATGTTGCATTTTGTATTTCGATTCAGAATTGAGATTTCATCGGAAATCAATCATATATGTCTGAATCTAGTGATCCACATGGATATGTAATCACTACATCTATCAACTGCAGAGATAGATGATTTTGTACTGCCAATGATATAAGTTATCGAAAAGAGATTCCACCTCTGGAGAATAGTTGGGTATCTGCGTGAACCCTTGTGCTACAATACTTGCTCTTTGTTTCACCACCTTATTGTTCTCAATTCCGTTTCCAGAAAAAAAACTGGTGTAGGTATTGCTTATGAATACCTTCCTATTATTGAGCAAGATCATTTCTACCTAGATTATACCCTTTGCTTGAGTTCAGTCCGAGTGTTGTTCACACTTTGCCATGGCCGTGGTCTTTGGATCTGAATCATTTGAAAGGTTTTTGCAATCTAGTTGAGAAATGTTGTCGACAATTGTATACTTTTGGTTATATGATTCTCCAGAATCTATATATCAATATATTGTTGATGGAAATATCGTTACCCATGGTGACTGCTCGCGATTTCCCAATGCGATTGAGTCGGGTATTCCGATGTCCCGGTCATTATGTGCACTATGACCTGGGTTGGTGGAGGTTTCCCATCCATTGGGTGTATACTACCCATTAGGTGTCTATCAACGTGAAGTTGACTTACATTTACTGATTCACAGGCCTTGATATCCTTGTTTGCAAGAAGCTGAATCCTGATGTACTTCTGCCATACATCTCCCCCTGTTGCTTTGAACGGGGAGTGGAGTGAATTTTGTTGCTACCTCCACTCTTTCAGGCATACTTTTGCGGGATTGTAGGATTGTGTGACACCTTTATAGTCAGTAAATGAATCTGGCAGGTTATTTGCAATGTGTTGCAAATCTTCTGAACGCATGGTTCAGATCTTTGAGTACGTGGATTTAAGGCAGAAATGTGTTCAACATTCCACTAATTTCCTGGCATTCTTTATGGTACTTGAATTCTCCCCCTAATGCCTGGAAATATTCCTCATTGAATCAACATACTGGCCTTGAATAACTCCCTATTCGAGGGGCTTGAGGTATTGATGGAAATACAATTATTCCTCACATAGATCCCAACTATATGTTGAGGGGCCAATGATGTAGCCGGGTGGTGATATCGGTGTGTAACCGAATTACCGCAGATAGGAAATACTTGGTAGATTTCCATGTATCAAAGATAGAGGGAATAATATAATGTAGTTTGGTCATGAGAGTGTAAGACTGCATGACTCCAACGTAAAGTTGGTAAGTTGCAATTCCAAAGTAAAGATTATGCAATGAGCTTAACTCTTTGGATAGGATTCTACCAAACCATTTTGAGTCTAGACATTAGGACAAATTGCTAAACTTCAATCCAAGGGCCATAAAGAAGGCACTCAAGGAGAATTCTACAAGGTTATCCATTCGATTTGCTTGAAATCGATGTCAGGATAATGAGCCAATGGTTTTGTGTGAATAAAGCACACTTAAGACCATCATGTAGATATGTCCTTTAGAACCATGGAATACCTGAATAGTCTACTCAGTGGTTGGGAAGAGCCACTTATCTCGACTTGATGCATTCAAGGAGTCTGAGTGGTTCAACATACACTTTAAGGTGTACAAGCCTTAAAATTTGCCTCCTTGTGTCACATGTAGTGCACATAAAATCCAAATATTGTTAGAATGTAGCATCATAATAATCATAAACCACTGGAATTGCTGATAGTTTCGGTTTCAACCCAATGCCAATGATGACCAAAGCAGGAATGCCAAGTTTGTCATGCCAAAGACACTCTGGAAAAATATCTCGTACGTAACATGTGCTACGGGTTTTGTAGTATGTGTAGTGCAATGCCAATGATACATAGAGAATATGCTTGCCATATCCATTGCATATGGTAAAGAGAAGATATTCCTCTTTGTTGTCATCATAAGTTTCGCTATGGAAACTATTTTGACGGATACCTCTATAGTTTAGTAGGGTATGAGCTAAACCCGGAAGCAATAAAGCATCCTGACGATACTCGAGTACCCACAGGGATAGTAAATATGACTCGAGTTGAGCCAACAAATACCTCATCGCGTCTAGCGATTTTAAAATATCTCCTTTCTCTCAATGAGAGTGGAAACATTGGACTTCCCTGAGTATAGAGTGTGTGTGGTGCATATGTCCACAAGGCACATATCATTTTTCATCGGATTGACTCGCGTAGAAATCTATATATAGACATGAAGATTCTCAATATGAAAATCACTGTCAGATATATAGAATGCATACAAATGTATGTGTATCAAAGTGCTGATACAATATATTGTGATATACAATATATGATGACAACAATACTTATGTTCTTATTAGAACATCGTAAATTGACATAAATTATGTTGACCACTCAGGAGATTGAGAGACTAGAAGAAGTCTCCACACATGTCGGTTGAGGCATATTCAACCATCACGTTCTCCGTGCTCATAGTGTCCCGTCACAGCTGGTGTTGTCGGATTGAAGGTTGAAGTAAGATTCAAACCTTTGCCCTTGAGGTTCATTGTATCCCAAGAATTGTTGATACAGAATAACTAGATGCTGAGATCTGAATCTAATGCCTTATAATGTATAAGGCAACATTTTTCTGTTAGCGGTGTGATCCTGACCAGAAGGGGAGCCTTGGCGCAGTGGTAAAGCTGCTGCCTTGTGACCATGAGGTCATGGGTTCAAGTCCTGGAAACAGCCTCTTACAAAAATGTAGGGAAAGGCTACGTACTATAGACCCAAAGTGGTCGGACCCTTCCC